AAAACCAAAGATTCATGGAAACAATTAGTCCAAGCGATTGGTACACCATGCGATCCTCAGCCTATATGACTATGAGACCAGAAGAACTAGATGGTACCCGGCTACCACCGTCAACCACTTGGAGGTGGATCTATATAGGAGATCCTGGGAGAACAATGTGGAACAAAATTCAAAATCATTTGGGAGGAAAAAAAAAAGGGACCAGGTTTGCTGGTCTGATAGAGCCTGATGGAACCACTAAGACTATGGCCCCTAGCTGACCTTCAGGTCTGGAATTGAACCCCTTCCTGTAGCTTCCAGCCAAACAAAAGATGGGCATATGAGGTGAACATTTACACTAGGTAGACAGACTCCTTGGAGAGAACAATCACGGGAGAATAGAAGGGCTGTGTATGCACAGGGAGCCAGCTCAGGGGGCAGGAGTGCATGGATGGATGGACACAGGAAACAGTAACTATGGGGAGGAAGTGTTACATTGTGGTAAATTGCAAAATTGCAGTCAATGTCATGAGACAAAGTGTATGTGAACTGCTGTATGGAAAGTGAATTTTCTCTGTAAACTTTCACCCAAAGCACAATTAAAAAAAAAAAAAAAAGATTTATAACCTTAGAAACCTAATAAGGGTCACTATTCGTCAGAATCAACTCAATGGCAGTGGGTTTGGATTTTGTTTTTTTACATAGATTCTAGGCCTCACAGTTTGGCTAACTCTGGATACATTCTTAATTTGTCATTAAGTTATTTTCTGTAAAGACTCAGATTTAACATCTCCACATGATTTTCATAGGCAGTAGAGCAATACAACAATACTTTCTAACTGTGGGCTCCTATCAGATAATGCAGATCTACTCCCTTAGAGACAGGGTACCCTAACTCACAGCTTCCTAACCAGAATTCATGTACGTTGAATGGGTTATAGGTTTAGAATATTGATTCCCTTGCCCTACTGGCAGTAAGATATGGGTGGGGACAGGGGGAAACTACATGGAAGGGCACTGGCTATAACCAGCTTCGTCCTTTGGGCCTCACGATTATGGTTTTTTAAGTATGCTATTATGTGAAAAAGATTGTAAAGCAGTACCCTAACTTCATCCTGCAGAAATCAGCCATTTTACTAATCACTTGATAGCGTACTTTCTGACTACTTATCCTGTTGGGTAAGGAGCTGTGGTAGCATAATACCTATGGCATGTGACTGGTAACCAGAAGGTTAGTGGTTCAAATCCACCAGCCACTCCATGGAAGCAAGACTGGGCTATCTACTTCAGTAAAGATTTACCACCTTGGAAATTCAATGGAGGTCGCTAAGAGTGGGAATCGACTTGATGGCAGTGGGTTTGGTTTTTTGGTTATCTTTTTAAGATGGTGACATTAAGATATGGGTAGTGGAAAGAATACAGAACTTAAGAGTTATTGGGCCTACTCTAATTCTATAACCTTGGACAAGCCCTGGTTGTTCTGAGACTCAGTATCATCAGGAATAAAATCTCTAAATGCATACCTCTCAAATTAGTTGTAGGATTCAACATCTGCAACGAGCATATGAAAACTCAAAATGCTAGGTATTGGTTATCACTACTAACAAATACTCCTTGAGTTAACTGTTTTAACTATATGATCCCATATGCTTAAAGAATTCAAACTAAGAAATTTCCATGTTTTTTACTAGCCCCAAAAACTGTTTGATCTTTTATATGCCCAACTCCATTTTTAGGCTGATTTGTATCAGTCCACAGCTACAGTAGAGTACATTTCTGGGAAACCAAGATGGAATGGTAGTTTTCATATCAACAGCTTATTTTTCCAACCCTGTATAAGTATGAAGTCCTCCAGGATTTGGTGATTTATTATGTATCCATCATCTTTCCAAGTCTGAAGTAGCTTCAAAGTTCCACTACACTTGTTAATTTACTCTCAATATTTACACCTAACTATGAATATATTATTACATTATTTACTAATTACACAGTCTTCCCTGTGAGATACTTCCCAGGGGGCATATTTACTACACCAAACCAAACGCACTATTGATGGAGTCTACTCTGACTCAGCGATCTTATAGGACAGAAGAGAAGTGCCTCACAGGGTTTCTAAGGTTGTAAATCTTTGCAGAAACAGACTGCCAGATCCTTCTCCAACAGAAAGGCTGGTTAGGAGTCGAGTACCTTTAACCACTGCACCACCAGGACTCCTTATATTTACTAAAATGGTAATAAATACATTATTTTGACTTGGGGGCCCTCAGAAACAGCAAGGCATCAAAAGGTAAATGTGTGAGCTTGCTATCTCCTGGCTTATAACATCCTGGAGCTGTCACTTAGCTAATGAGAGTGATTGGTTGGAAAGAAAAGACCCTTTGGAAGATCGATAAATAAGTCAGCGTAATCACAAGGGGTCTAAAGAAATCTCCAAGGGACTGTGACACTTAGATACACTGTCACCATACTATGAAATTGCTCTCACCTCACTAAATACATCTCCCTGCTTTTTCTCTTTTACATAAACCTATACTCCAACCAAAACTTAAGTGCCACAATCCTTTGCCTTGGCTCACACTGCCCTCCTGCCTTTGTATCCTTCTTTTCCTGTTCACCTGTCCAACACCCACAATTTTTTCAAGACCCCCTAGACTGCAAGTTCCCTGACTGTTGTTGTTATGTGCCGTCGAGTCAGCCCCGACTCATAGCGACCCCTCCTTGGGTTTCCGAGGCAGTATCACTACGGAAGTAGGATTGCCCAACCTTCCTTCCGAGGAGTGGCTGGTGGGTTTGAACCGCCAGCCTTCTGGTTAGCAGTCAAGTGCTTTAGCCACTATGCTACCAGAGCTCCCTGACTGTAGAGATCAGATATTTTGCTTAGACTGTATCTTCAGCGCCAAGCATAGTAGGTACTCAACAAACAATAAGCATCCCCTTGTCTGAGCAGCATAGCAACTCTGCCTCCTTCCCAACACACATACACACACATACACACACACACGACTATGCTCCATTTCTGTGCTCCCATGATACGCTGTGCTTAATTCTTTCATAACAGTTTGCACATGCATTGAAATGATCTGTGAGCTCTATGAGAGCATGGATAGTAAGATGTTGTGATCCTTTACCCCCAGAAGTTTGTAGAGTGCTTGAGACACAGCCGAGGCTCAGAAGATGTTTGTTACATGAATAACTGAACGAATATGCCAGCGCGCAGCCCTATAAAACACTGGCCTTTCTCCTCATGCCCGCGGACCATTCTTATCTCTGCGATCTTCTTGCGCGTGCCCTGCCTCAGCCTCCTCCTCCAATGAGGCGGCTGTGGAGTCCTCCTTCGCAACTCCAGACAAAAAACAGCCTTTGCCTCCTCTAGCCAATTAAAGTCCAACTGCTGCCACGGCTCCTTTGGTGGACCCCAGGCCCCTCTCGAGCTTCACTTCAACTGAGTTAAGGCTGACGACAGACCCGCGGTCGGCGACACGGCGGGAAAGTGGGAAGACTGTAAGGCTGGCCCACCGCGCCTGGTGCCTGCTCGAAGAGCGCAAAAGCTGCCAGCTCTGGATACCACCTGCCCAGGAGCAGCCAAAGGCGCCGTTCCCGCCCGTTCTGCGGCGCCGGGGAGGGCGGACTCCCGCCCAGCCGGTCCTTAGCATCGCCACTCTCGGGAAGGGCGAGCTCCAAGCCCGACCCTTGCTCCCTCTACCCGACGCCCCCTGGCTCGGGCCCCCGCGGCCCGAAACAGAGGTTTGCAGCACAAGCCGGTGCCCCGAGGTCCCCAGCCGGGGGTGAGGACATCGGTTGCTGTTCCGGGGCGTCGCCCCCGCGACCCTGTGGCCTCTGCCACGGTCCTTGGCCCTCAGTCCTCGGACCCCAGCGTCTTGCCGGGTTCCCACAGAGCGACGGAGCGGGGGCCGCGGCGCACAGCGCACTGACCTGGAAGTGCAGCGCCATCTTCCCGGGAGGCGGCGCCGGCCGACCAGCCCCAAGAGCTGGAGGGGAGGGAGTGGAGGCGGGCGCCGCCGAAACCCCAGCCGCCCGCGGGGTCCCTGCGCCGCTTGCTCTTCGCCTCAGAAGCGCGCGGCCTTCGAGTTCCACGCTCCGGACAGGGCGGAGCGACTGTGGCGACGCACGCGGGTGGGTCGAGAGGGGCGGGTCCTTCGGAGGCATAAGAATCTCAACCGCCCCCTGCACTTAAGTTTAAACTGCTACTTTAGAGGGTCGTGACCTCTGACCCCTGCCCTTTGACTCACCACTACAACCTAACCGTCGACTATGACCCTTGACTCCTAAATCTTCCACACACTTGACTTTCAACCTCAACAACACAACTATGGCCCCTGAATCCTGATTTCCTGGTGGCGCGATAGTTAAGCCATTGACAGCAAATAGGGCAGGAAGTTAGATCCCAGGAATCGCACTGTTGGAGAAAGATGTGGCAGTCTGCTTCCGTGAAGTTTTACAGCCTTGTAATCCTATGGGACAGTTCTACTTTGTCCTACAAAGTCTCTGTGAGTCAAAATCCACTGGGAAGCAGTAGGTTTGGCTTGTTGATTTAGCACCCACTTGACATCCGCATAGTACGAACCTTAAGTGCTTGGCTGCTAACCTAAAGGTTGGTGGTTGGAATCCACCTAGAGGTTCCTTGGAAGAATTGGAGCACATTTCTGCCCTGACACACATGAGGTCGCATGAGTCGGAATTGACTGAAAGGCAACTGATGGTGGTGAGCATCCATTATCCCGTCAACCACAAACTTTGACTCCCATAAACCAACAGCTTTCTGAGACCCCAGACTCCCAGAGCCCAATTTCCTTTTTTATTTAACTTTAAATTTTATTTTAGCTAAAATTAAATAAAGTTTTTAGATGGCATTAAGTTGTAGAATTCTAGGTCATCTCTTCTTTCTCTATATTTCATTGAATATGAACTTATATTTTCCACCAAATGATTCCATTCCAAAGAGAATTTGAGCCAAAGTGGGTCTGATGATCTTCTGATCATCTTCTGAGGATCTTCATTTCTATTTAAAGGTCAACACTTCCATGTAGGGTTGTTGTCATGTAACCTGAAAATTTTCCTTTAATACTTCCTGTAGTCTGCTATTGACAATTTCAGCTTTTTTAATATGAAAAGTTGTTTGTTTTTTTTAACCTTCAGTTTTAAAAGATGGGAGCTCTGGTGGTGTCGTGCCTGAGGCATTTGACTGCTAACCAGAGGGCTGGCAATTCAAACCCACCAGTCACTCCTCCTCCTTCTGCAGATGGCCTCTGAAACCCAAGGAGGGGTCGCTATGAGTCAGACCCTACTCAACTGCAGTGAGTTTGTTTTCTTGGTTGGTTTTAAAAGATAGTTTTGCTGGGAATAGAATTATATATTGTGTTTTTAAGTCTTTTTGGCATTATAAAGATGTTCTGTTGTTTTCTGGTTTCTGTTGAGAAGGCAGCTCTCAGTCTGATTTTTCCTCCTTTTACCTTAAAATGTACCCCCACACACACTTGTTCCACCTCTAACTATTTTTAAATTTGTCTTTTTGGCAGACAGCAATTTGAGTTAGATGTAACTAAGTGTCATTTTCCTTGTAATTATCCTGCTTTGAATTCATAAAACTTCCTTTATATGAAATATGATATTTTTCATCAGTTTTTGAAAATTCTTGACCAGTGTTTATTTAAATATTACTTATTTTCCCTTCTTTCTCTCCTTGTCTTCTGGAGATCCACTTATATATATTTTAGATCTTTTTGCTATGTACCATATGTCTCTTACTCTATTTTCTATAATTTGGGGGCTTTAGTTTTTTGGTTTTTTTTTTTTTCGTTTTGTGCTTTAATGTAGATAGTTTCTACTGATCTGTTGTCCATTCAGTAGAAAGTCTGTTCTGTTGTGTCTAAGCTGTTATATGACCCATCTGTTGGATTTTTAATTTTAGTTAAAATATTTCTTTTGATTCTTACCCCCTCCCATTTAAAAAGAAAAAAAGATTCCATGTATTTTGATTCTCTAGTGCTTCTATAACAGAAATACCACAAGTGATGTCTTTAACAAACAGCAATTTATTCTCCCACAGTTGAGGAGACTCAAAGTCCAAATTCAGAGTGTTGGCTTTAGGGGCTAAGTGAAGGCCCCTTCACTTTGGGCTTCAGCTTTGTCTCTTATTCCAGGCCCACTAGCACTGGAGGCTGCTACTAATTCTAGCAGCTGCAGGTTGCTGAGGCTGACAAACCCAATAATTGACAGGTAAAATGGCACAATCCCAAGATTGTCAGAAAACACAACAGACCACTGGCTCAAGTCCAGGAACTACAGATGAAGACTTAGCCAAATGCAGGATCCAAATGTGCCAAAAAGCTAGAGATCTTCCTCAAAGCCTCTCTTTATATACTGGAAGCAGGCCACACCCCTAAGGAAACTACTTACCTCTCACAGCAGATTCCACCATGGAAATGATTACAATCTCATAATGGGGAATAACTACATCCAGCTGCCCAGCCAAGTTGACACACAACCTGAACTACCACACCATAAATAAATAAATAAAGCCTCACTGCCTTCAAGTCAGTTCTGACTCATAGCAACCCCTCCTTGGGTTTCAGAGGCTATACTACGAAAGTAGATTGCCCAGTTTTCCTTCTGAGGAGTGGCTGGTGGGTTTTGAACCACCAGCCTTCTGGTTAGCAGTCAAATGCTTTATGCACTACACCACCATGGCTCTGGTGAAATTTTTACTCTTTCCTCGATTTTCTTTAACATTTTAATCATAATATTTAAACTCCTTATCTGATTACTCCAATATCTGAATCGTCTGTGGGGCTATCCTGGTCATTTGGGCCTGTTTTTTTAGCATGGCTCATAATTTTTTACTGAACATTAGATAATGTGGAAGAAATATTGCAAAGGCTCTGGATGATATTCTCTTTCTCTAAGGAGTGTTGAGTTTTCTTATTGTAATAAGCAGATAGAATATAAATCACTTAACCTTCTGGAGTCTTGGATTTGGCTTTTTAATGCTGATTTATTTCGGTTTTTCTCTTACTCTTAGGTCATGGTACTTACTAGACCTTACAACTAAAATATTAGAATGTTTACAAAAACCCCTCCATGTTGGCAGGGCTTGAACTCCTATCTCTCTCTGATCCTTAGTTCTGCAGCTGGTAAAATCTCTATTCAACTCTTTAGGTACTGCTGTTCTGCTGGATTTCTTGAAGTTTCTCTCTGTGCATGTGCATCTAAGGAATTTGCTGGTACTTTGAGGAAAATTTATACACAGATTTTTGGGCTCATATCTCTGTAGTTGCCTCCTCTCTAGAATTTTGTCCCTCAAGTCCAAGCTTCTTTCATTACTAAGCTCTGACCTCTGCTTTTATCCTATTGGTGCTGATGTTTTCTTTAGCTATTACCCCTTATTGCCAATTAGAAAATGCTCTCAGGGAAAAAGCTTGAGGTAAATTGGATTTCACTTCTTGTACTTTCATTCTCTCAAAGTTGGCTACTCAAGTTCTCATGTTCTGCCTCCATTAGTTGTCCTATAGATAGACAGATGATAGAGAGAAGAAAGAAAGATAATAGATAGTGAGCATGTTCTGGTAACACAAATGTTTAAGCACTCAGCTGGTAACTGAAAGGTTGTCAGTTCAAATCCATGCAGCAGTTCTGTGGGAGAAAGCCCTGACAATCAATATATATATCCACCACTCATCTGTCAGTTTCTCATACTGTGGTGGCTTGCATGTTGCTGTGAGGCTGGAGGCTATGCCACTGTTATTTCAAATACCAGCAGGGTCACCCATGGTGGAAAGGTTTCAGTGGAGCTTCCAGACTAAGACATACTTGGAAGAAAGAAGGGGCCATCCATTTCTCAAATACTTGACCAGTGAAAACCTTATAAATAGCAGTGAAACTATCTGATATATTACTGGAAAATGTTATGAATAGCCTTATAATATTGTCCAATATAGTGCAGAAGATGAGCTCCTTGGGTTGGAAGGCTCTCAGAATACAACTGGGGAAGAGCTGCCTCCTCAGAGTAGAGCCAGCCTTAATGATGTGAATAGAGTAAAGCTTTTGGGAACTCCATTTGCTGATGTGGCATGACTCAAAATGAGAAGAAACAGCTGCAAACATCCATTAATAATCGGAACATGGAATGTACAAAGAAGTATGAATGTAGAAAAATTGGAAGTTGTCAAAAATGAAATGGAACACATACAGATAGATACCCTAGGAATTAGTGATCTGATATGGACTGGTTTTGGCCATTTTGAATCAGACAACCATATGATCTACTGTGCCAGGAATGATAAATTGAAGAAGAATGGTGTGACATTCATTGTCACAAAGTATGTTTCAAGATCGATCCTGAAGTACAATGCTGTCAGTGATAAGATAATATCCATATGCCTACAAGGAAGCCCAGTGATTACTAGGAGCTCTGGTGGCACAGTGGATAAGGGACTTGACTGCTAACCAGAAGGTTAGCGGTTCAAACCCACCAGCTGCTCCATAGAAGGAAGACTGGACAATCTACTTCAGTAAAGATTTATAGTGTCAGAAACCCAATGGGAGTTGTTAATACTACTATTATTCAAACTTTAATAATACTACTATTATTCAAACTACACAACAACCACCAAAGCCAAAGATGAGGAAATTGAAGGTTTTTGCCAATTTCTGCAGTCTAAAATTGACTGAACATGCAACCAAGATGTGTGGATTATGATTGATGATTAGAATGCAAAAGTTGGAAACAAAGAAGTTTCCACCAGCAGTTAGAAAATATGGCCTTGGTGATAGAAATAACATTGGAGAGCATATGATAGAATTTTGCAAAACCAACAACTTATGCATTACAAATACCTTTTATCAACAACATGTTGTTGTTAGGTGCTGTCGAGTCATTTCCGACTCATAGCGACCCCATGCACAGCAGAACAAAACACTGCCTGATCCCGCACCAGCTCCATGATCCCTGCTATACTTGAGCCCATCATCGCAGCTACTGTGTCAATCCATCTCGTTGAAGGCCTTCCCCTCTTTTGTCAACCCTCTACCTTACCAAGCATG